AGAAATACAAAAACACACAAAATAATTAAAAGAAAGAAAACCATGTTTAACAGTTCGAAAATTAGAACATTTAAATTTGAAAAGCCATGTTAAAAATAAATGTTTTTAGACCTGATTTAAATTATTCTAAAGTGCATTCTCAGATGTTCTGGGAGTTTGTTCCATGCATTAGGAGCATACATGCTGAAGGCTGCTTCCCCACGCTTTGATCTCACAAAGGGAACAGTGAGCCGGCCTGAAGACCTGAGGGGTCTGCTGGGTTCCTACCGCTGAAGGAGGTCCTTGATATATTTGGGTCCTAGCCCGTTTAGTGCTTTATATGTGTGCAATAACATCTTAAAATCAATTCTCTCACTTACTGGAAGCCAATGCAGCGATCTCAGCACTGGAGTGATGTGGTCTGTTTTCTTTGTCCGGGTTAAGACTCTGGCAGCAGCATTTTGAATTAGTTGGAGTTTACGGAGTGATTTCTTTGTGAGGCCTGTGAAGATGCTGTTGCAGTAGTCGAGCTTGCTAAAGACAAATGCATGGACAAGTTTTTCAAGGTCTTGCTTGGACATAAGGTCTTTAATACGCGAGATATTTTTTAGATGGTAGCAGGCTGATCTGTTGATTGCCCTGATGTGGCTGTTAAAGTTGAGGTCAGAGTCTAAAATTATACCTAAGTTTCTTGCTTGACTTTTCGGTTCGAGTAATAGTGATTCCAGGGCAGTGACTTTAACTCTCTCTTCTTTGGTTCCAAAAACAATTACTTCGGTTTTTTTTGTGTTGAGCTGTAAGAAATTACGGCACATCCAGTCATGTATTTGTTTTAGACATGTGATCAATAAATCAGTAGGACCGTATTCATCTATGGAAAGTGATATGTAGATTTGGGTGTCATCCGCGTAATTATGATATGAAATGTTGTTATTTCTAATTATTTGAGCAAGTGGCAGCATTTACAAATTGAATAGAAGAGGCCCGAGGATCGACCCCTGGGGAACTCCACATGTCATTTTGGTTCTGTCCGATGTACAGCTACCAATTGAAACAAAATACTCTCGGTTTTCAACATAGGATTTAAACCATTTTAGGACAGTGCCAGACAGACCCACACATTTCTCTAGTCTTTCTATTAAAATATTGTGATCTACGGTGTCAAACGCCGCACTGAGGTCCAATAGAACTAAAACTGTGGATTTCCCACAGTCGGGATAGTCGTGTTCTCGACACGACTATCCCGACTGTCTCTAGAAAGACTATTTTAGATTTAAGATATTTGACCCTGTTTAAAACTTGCTTCAATTTAGCCAATTTTCTCATTCCCCGGACGTTCCAGCTTGTAACTTTAATATCCAAACTACTGCCCTGACTTGCTCTCTCCATAGACATTCATCTCAGCATTATAAAGTAACGAAACTGTAAATAATTTTACAAAATGATTAATATGGTGCAAGTGACCCCCCTCCTCCCCCCAAACGAAACACATACACACGCACACACGAACACACCCCAGAACAGGCACACCCTCAACCCTCGCATTTCCCCAACTGAAATGCATACCCTACCCCTGGTGTAGAAACATTGAGGAACGTTGATCCACAATATGCGAGGAGCAACCAGTCAGTGTAACTCGACCCAAGCTCACAAAACAAAACAAAAAATCGGTGCTCAACAACCACACATTTAAACCTTGTCAAGTAATATATCCCTTCCGGACATAACACAATACCATCTAAACATATTAAAACAATATCTGCTGGTCTAATGAAACATAGAAAAGACATATGAACACAATGCCATCCTTATTATATAGGTCTACTCTCGAACAGAATCATATTTCAATGGGCTTTCTCTTAAGAAGGAGAGAGAGAGGAATAAAAGAAACCTCCATATACACACGCGTATAAAGTCAATGTAAATGTTTGCAACTGTAACTCAACTCACAATGCCTGATATCTTCCGATGCAATCTCAAGCTCATTGTGGCCGTGTGATTCCCACACAACACACACCAGAGGCTATTGTTGGATGCTTTTGTAGAACTTTTCGACTTCTTGTGGCGTTGTGAAGAGATTAATCTTGCCGTTGTGTAGCACTCTGAGTTTGCAGGGGTTGTGTTGGAATCCATGGAAGGCGTTGATGTCAACAAACAACTTTGTAACGTGTTAAATCCCCATCGGACCCGGACCGTTTCTGCAGATAAAACCTGCGTGAATGATATCTTGCCCCCGTCATATGTAATGTCTCGACGTCTTGATTCACGGTAGACAAACTCCTTCTCCTGAAACTTTAAGAAGCGGACGATGACCGCTCTGTGTTGGTTGGGTTTCCCCGACGCTAGCGTGCGATGAACCCGCTCCAGAGTGAGAGCCCTGTCAGGTGTCAGCTCCAGCCATCGTGTCAGCATGTCGTTAACGAAGTTGAGGAGTGTTTGTTGGCCCTCGGCTCCTTCTCGTATACCAAACAGCCGTAGATTCTTTCTTCTGCCCCGGTTCTCCAGGTCGTCTGTCTTTGACTCAAGGTAAGCGATACGTTTGTTAACGGAGTCAAGTGCGGCCTCCGTTTTTTCAAGCGTCTTCTCTGCGTGGTGTATGCGGCCTTCGGCCTCGTTAATACGGGTTGAATTGGAAGAAACATCCCGTTTTCATTCTGTTACTTTACTCTCCAATTCAGCCATTGAGGTTGCCACGACAGTCAGACGTGTGTCGATGTTGTGCAACTTTGTTCCGAAGTCCGCCCGTAGTGATTTCAACTCGCTCAAAACGTCAGCTATGTCAGCCATGTTGCTATCTTCTGAGTCGCTCCGTGGACTTGGCGGGGCTGTTTTAATCGACCGACTTCGTCCTTGAGTGAAAATATCGCAAGCCTTGGTCGCAGGAGGGTTTGACATATCAAAGCTGATATTGTGTTAAAATATTTTGCCGTGTAGTGAGGGATTTTGTATAAAAAAAATGTGTGCTGCCATCTTGGTCTCGTCCTCATGACTCCCCTCCTTTACCAGCTTTGAGAACACTTTCATGATCAATCATTATAAAACATATCATATATATTATTCTGAAATGGACCAATCTGCACAACGACTACTTTTACTGTCGCTACTTTAACTATATTTTGATGAGAATACTTTTATACTTTCACTTGAGGAACATTTTGAATGCAGGACTTTTACTGAAACAGAGTATTCCTACACTCTGGTACTTCTACTTTTACTCAAGTACAAGACCTGAGTACTTCTACTTTTACTCAAGTACAAGATCTGAGTACTTCTACTTTTACTCAAGTACAAGACCTGAGTACTTCTACTTTTACTCAAGTACAAGATCTGAGTACTTCTACTTTTACTCAAGTACAAGATCTGAGTACTTCTACTTTTACTCAAGTACAAGATCTGAGTACTTCTACTTTAACTCAAGTACAAGACCTGAGTACTTCTACTTTTACTCAAGTACAAGATCTGAGTACTTCTACTTTTACTCAAGTACAAGACCTGAGTACTTCTACTTTGACTCAAGTACAAGATCTGAGTACTTCTACTTTTACTCAAGTACAAGATCTGAGTACTTCTACTTTTACATTACACATTTTTGAACTTTCAAAATAAAAACTCTCGCAAACTGGAAATGTTTTCAAATCCTTGTAGCTACTGTTCAATGTTCACACGTTCACCTGATTAAGTTATGAGATAAAACGTTATTTGCTGTTAAAACCTGTTGAATGATTAAATAAATAACAACAAGACTGATTTATGTTTTTATTTTCAAGAAACACATCCTGTGAGAAACCAAGAGATGAAATCAACTGAACCAGAACGAGATGTGAACCACATGCTGTTTGACTTCCCTTCCCTTTCACATATGATGGAGTTCACATGAAGACATTCTGACAGCTTACTTTAGAATGGAGAGAAACTGAATGGAAATATCATTTATCACACCAACTCTGTATTCCTCAGTTCAAGATGAAACCAGCTGAATCTTTTCAAATGACCAATTATAATCATTTTAAACATGTGCACATAATTATAGACCAAAGCTAAGGCATTTTAATTTATTTGAGTCATTAAGGAAGAACTCGGTTGATCGGGGACTTGAACCAGTGACCCTCCGGTTCCCAAACTAACTGATTGAATAAAATAAATATTAAAATCATATTTGTCTCTACTTTAAAGAGTTCTCTCCTGCTGATGTTCAGGTGTATATCAGTATGTAGTGTCTCTACTTTAAAGAGTCCTCTCCTGCTGATGTTCAGGTATATATCAGTATGTAGTGTCTCTACTTTAAAGAGTCCTCTCCTGCTGATGTTCAGGTGTATATCAGTATGTAGTGTCTCTACTTTAAAGAGTCCTCTCCTGCTGATGTTCAGGTGTATATCAGTATGTAGTGTCTCTACTTTAAAGAGTTCTCTCCTGCTGATGTTCAGGTGTATATCAGTATGTAGTGTCTCTACTTTAAAGAGTCCTCTCCTGCTGATGTTCAGGTGTATATCAGTATGTAGTGTCTCTACTTTAAAGAGTCCTCTCCTGTTGATGTTCAGGTGTATATCAGTATGTAGTGTCTCTACTTTAAAGAGTCCTCTCCTGCTGATGTTCAGGTGTATATCAGTATGTAGTGTCTCTACTTTAAAGAGTCCTCTCCTGCTGATGTTCAGGTGTATATCAGTATGTAGTGTCTCTACTTTAAAGAGTCCTCTCCTGCTGATGTTCAGGTGTATATCAGTATGTAGTGTCTCTACTTTAAAGAGTCCTCTCCTGCTGATGTTCAGGTGGATATCAGTATGTAGTGTCTCTACTTTAAAGAGTCCTCTCCTGCTGATGTTCAGGTGTATATCAGTATGTAGTGTCTCTACTTTAAAGAGTCCTCTCCTGCTGATGTTCAGGTGTATATCAGTATGTAGTGTCTCTACTTTAAAGAGTCCTCTCCTGCTGATGTTCAGGTGGATATCAGTATGTAGTGTCTCTACTTTAAAGAGTCCTCTCCTGCTGATGTTCAGGTGGATATCAGTATGTAGTGTCTCTACTTTAAAGAGTCCTCTCCTGCTGATGTTCAGGTGTATATCAGTATGTAGTGTCCAATGTAAGTGGGAATTTTAGCCTTTGGAGACCATTTACATTCACAACAACCTATATAACACACTACAGGAGAGGGAAACACCTTTTGAGAAGTTCAGGTTTTGAAAGTCGTTAAGTTCCCGCAGTGGAAAACAGATGTTAAAGTAGAATCAGGTAGAGCAGCCACAGCAGGACGCACAGGGTCCCCAACCAGGACTGCCAGTCCACAGCGAGGACGTCAAAGACTTCAGACATAAGCCACGAATCTCCACTGCTGCTGACGATCTGATCCTGAACCCAGGACTTATCACTGCTGCTGACGACCTGATCCTGAACCCAGGACTTATCACTGCTGCTGACGATCTGATCCTGAACCCAGGACTTATCACTGCTGCTGACGATCTGATCCTGAACCCAGGACTTATCACTGCTGCTGACGATCTCATCCTGAACCCAGGACTTATCACTGCTGCTGACGACCTGATCCTGAACCCAGGACTTATCACTGCTGCTGACGACCTGATCCTGAACCCAGGATGTATCACTGCTGCTGACGATCTGATCCTGAACCCCATCTGAGTGCGACGCCTCCGGGACAAACAGGAAGTGCTTCCCGTTCTCACAGGAAATCACCGCGGTGGCCTCTTCATCTTTACACCTGAAGCGACCATGATGACAGGAAGTCAGACAGCATACACTCTGGGCCTCATGATGAGATCTGTTACTATGAATATCTGCCAGACTGCGTCACCAGAGAGTTGAGGACATTATGAATGATGTGAGGGGCTAGACAAGTGAAATGTTAAGATGATATGATATTGTAATTCAATGTATTTATGTAGTAACTGTGCACACAAACAAAATAAGCTATTACAGGACTCAGGGAACACACAGTTAACGAGCACACTTGTGTTAATGAGTTATTAATTAGGCTGTTATGTTGTTTTATGCAGGAGTCAAGGTTCGGTGTGAATCCCGTACGGTGTGGGAATACGTTTACATTTGTTTAGATGAAAAAAATAATGATAATAATTCTCAGAATTCTGACTTTCTTGTCGAAACTCCAAAAAAAGGGTTTTGAGAAAAAAAATCGGAATTCTGAGAAAACATTTGAATTGTTCTGATTAATTTCTCTTTCAGAGAAGTCAAAATAATACTTTAGAAATCTGAGACTTTCAGCAAAAAATTATATCATTTTTTTCACACAATTTAGGTTTTTGGAAAAGGCTGGTAGTGCTAACCTCCTCAGATGTTGCTAACCTGCTCACATGTTGCTAACCTCCTCAGATGTTGCTAACAGTATCACATGTTGCTAACAGTATCACATGTTGCTAACAGTATCACATGTTGCTAACAGTATCACATGTTGCTAACAGTATTATGAATGCACCGGACCATGACCCCCAGACCACAACGGCACAAAAACACAATCCGTTTCAGCCCTAATTCCTAAATACTTAAGTAAAAGTGAGAAATCAAACAACCAGTGCTTTAAAGTTATTAATATTATCAAACTGCAATATATAATTTACTCACACATTTAAAGGTAATATTCAAAACTTCAATAATGTCCAGATGTAATTTGTCTTCTACACATGTGACTCACAAATGTGGGGTTTTGAATCCGCTTTCCTGACTTACGTTGGATAAACCACTCGGCTTGTTTGAAACGCAGCACGTTTGAGATTTGACGCCAGAGAATGGAAAACAACTTACCACTAGAATAAAAGCTAACATTAGGAAGTACCTGCTAGCTAATGTTAGTGCAACTTCTTCTATAAAGCAGGGCTATGTAGCTTGTTAGCATGATATCTTTTTCCACCTCTTCTGCTTTAGATATTTTTTTAGTTTTTACTAGGACTATAACTGTGCGTGTTCAGTAACGAAAACACAACATTACCTAATGGCAATCTGTTAGGGACATTGCCTCTAGATTAGAAATATTAGGTGCCTCGAGGTGAGTTGTGTAGTTAATCATCTTAAAAAGCGTGTGTGTTATTGTGGAGCTGGTTATTTGCTACCCACCAGGTCAGCGTGGGCTCGGGGAGTGCCATCACCTCCACCTCTAGAGTCACCGGAGAGCCCTCCATGACGGTGGCTCTAGAAAGAGGCCTGGTGAAGCAGGGAGGGCCCGGGTGAGAGGCTTTTCCCTGGGGAAGAGACTCTGCCTGGGCCTGGGGAACAGGAGCAGGAAGGGAAGGCCCCTGGATCTGAGGAGTAAGCCTGATCTCCTCGCGGATGGTCATTGGCTGACAAATGGTTGGGTCTTGGTCTGGCGTTAGTAGATGGGGTGGAGAGGAAAGGGGGGTGACATGCAGATGAGCCAAAGCTTGTGGTTCAGGCTGAGGAAGAGGAGGAGCAGCGGGGGTTATGCCAGGGTCATGCACACACTGCTGGGTACAGCTGGAGGTCAAGGGCTCATGGAGGGAGTAGACTGTCTGGTGCTTGTTGCTGAATGTATTGCTGATGCTGTTTGGCTCAGGGATATTGGAGGCATGGACCTCAGGTACACCTGAACCACCCTGGGATAAGGTGCTTTCTTTCTGGGACCTGAATTTGCTGCTAACTTGTGTCAAGGTGCAATGACTGTTTGAAGGGGAAGGCTGGCAGTACACAGTATCTTTGACAGTTTTGCTGCTTTGGGGCATGGAGTCTGATAATGCTTCTTTGCTGGTTTGGGAGGAAGGTACATCCTGATCAAGGCCACTCCCAGAGTCCAGGGACGATATTGAAAGATTGCTGTTTTGAGGGAGGGTTGTGTTGGTTTGGAGGCCAGTTTTACAGGATTGAAGGATTCCAGTGTCTTGGATTCTGTCTTGGTGGAGAAGAGGGAGGCTGGAGCTATGAGCAAACTCTTTGTCCGGATTGATTACAGGCAAGGTCTTGAACTGTTCTTGCTGAGACCTGAGATTGCTACTAGACTGTTTCAAGGTATAATTCTTTAAAGATGAGGACTGGCAGTATACAATTTGTTTGCTGTTTTTAGACATGGAGGATTCTTCTTTGCTGGTTTGGGAGGAAGGTACATCCTGATCAAGGCCACTCCAAGAGTCCAGGGACGACACTGAAAGATTGCTGTTTTCAGGGAGGATTGTGTTGGTTTTGAGGCAAGTCTCACAGGATTTAAGGAGTCCAGTGTTTTTATGGAGAGTAGGCATGATAGGGCTAAGAGCAAACGCTTTGCCCGGACCGATTTCAGGCAAGGTCTTGAACTGTTCTTGCTTAGGCCTGAAATTGCTGCTAGACTGTGTCAAGGTGCAATGACTGTCCGAAGGTTCACCAAAGGGGGCACTGATGAAACTGTCCCTTTGTTGTTTGGAGACTGCGTCGACAGTGTCCGGAAAATACTGTAACAAACGGTTCTTTTGACAAATTAAGGTTTTGATTTGAGGGAAAGTAGTGTTGATTTTGAGGAACCTAGTTTCTTGGGAAGGGGTTTTGTCCTTGTGGCAATCAGGGTCTGGACCATTAAACGCCTCAGGAATGCAGCTGGACTGGGGGAGCTTGGCAGGGATGTGGTTGAGTTCTGCAACCTGGGGATCAGTCTGTAGCAGGGTTCCATCAGTTTGGGTGATCATACTCGGTGAACCTGTTCTCCTTTGAGGCTGGTTGTACTGACTTACATGCTCCTTTAGTACTGGTTCAGTTTTTGAGGGGCTCCTCTTATCAGGGACTTCATTGTCTTTCTTGGAACAACTGTCTGAAGAGTTACCATTGTCGAGTGAGTTGGATACTGAGGGGAAGCTCGGTTCAGGGCCGCCCAGACAGACGTTGGCAGTGCTGGTCTTTTTAGTCTTCAGGATGCTGCACAGAGTGCTGGTGAACAGGGTTGGAGCAGGAACTGTTAATGGACTCTGCACAAACGAACTGGACTCTGATCTGAACCTGTAACACAAAACGGGATCAAACTCATACCAACACATTTTTATTGTTCAGATGTGGACTGGGACTTTGGTGAGGCAAGGCAAGGCAAGGCAAGTTTATTTATATAGCACCTTTCAACACAAGGCAATTCAAAGTGCTTTACAAAAAATGAAAGACATTAAGAAAATGGCATTTAAAATCAGTCATTAAAAAGAAAAGATAATAAAATAAACATTAAAAGAAAAAATACATGGACTTTGGTGACATGCGGCCTGTCCTACACCACCATAGAGCTGCTGGAATTAGTCTCAAAACCCAGGAATGAGTCAGCATTTTTGCCCTTTCTGTACCCTCATGACGAAATCAATGGGTTTGTGGTTGGGTTTTTTGTTCATCAAAAGTTAAAGAGATTTTCACATTTTGTTCTATGTAAAATATGTCTTGTTGGGAATACAAAGGATTCTTGTTATTTCCTGAGAATGAAACTAATACAGACCTGGAGCTGCTGTGACGGCTGGTTGGAGGAGTTGGACAGCTGTCTGTCCGGCTGGACTGTCTGTGTTGTCGGACTGCACCAGTACCAGTACCAGAACCAGTACCAGTACCAGTACCAGTACCAGAACCAGTACCAGTACCAGTACCAGAACCAGAACCAGAACCAGTACCAGTGCCGCTGCGCTCTGACTGGCGGCTGTACTGGTTAGTGTGGACGCTGTGGGAGCTGAAACAGTAGCCCTCCTCAACGTCTGATTGAACCATGATGGACTCTGGAGTCTCTGCCAGCGGCGGTAGGGAAATGTCGTCAGGTGACGCACAATCGTACTCGTCATTGGAGAGAGAATCTTCCATCATCACGTCGTGAAGCTCCGCCTCCGACAGGCTGCCTCTTGATGCATCCTGGGTAAATAACAATTAAGTATTTGTGCATTTAGCAAGTGTCTTTGTCCGATAAATATATGACTTCATTTATAGTGTTGTACCCTTTCTCAAATTCACTCACTGAAGTGGCTAGCATTGAAGCTAAGCTAACAATAGAGCGAAGAGAAGTCGAGCAATAAAACAAACAATCATTTTAAAAATACAAATTACAATAAACAGTAATACTATGAGGAGCATACAAAAAACATGGGTTTCAAACAGTGTCAACATCAAACAGCAGAGACTTCTTTCTCATGATTAGATTTCAGGCTAGTTTTACCACCCTCAAATCTTAAATATAACCCAAGGAATGGATATCATTTGAATATCATCTATGTATGCGTTCAAACATAAATCTGTTTTCATAAATATAATTTTTCATTAGATGGAAAATGAAGGAGGATCTAAATATGATCCCTGTGGGACACCACATGTCAAATGACCTTCCCGAACTCCCTCTGGATGTCAGAAAACGACGGGCCAGTCACAGAGGGCGAGGGCGTGGCCTCCGTGGCGGAAGGCTGTGATTGGTTGTGTATGTTGCGGACTCGTCGGTTGGTATCCAATGGGGAGCAGGGGAAGTTGAAGGTGTGGGTGGAACAGTATGAGGAGGTGGCCCTAAAGGAAAGCAACATCAACCTTTATTTCTACAGTTCAGGGATGCAAACAGACACGTTGTTTTTTGTTTTATTTACATTTAAATTTGATTTCAAATATTTGTATATCATGGTGAGTCGTGAGGAATTATTAAATGTTTTCTACTTGCACATAAATTATCATAATTTGTCCTAAAATGAAAAACAAAGAGGAACTGAAACGGATCCCTGGGGGACACCATATCACTTCGTTTTTATCTAAAGCTATTTAAAAAATATATATATTTGCTGTTCAATGTTTTTGAAAATATCCCGACATCTTTTGATAAAGAAGCTGTAAATTGTAATGTATTTTGTGGGGTTTTTGCGCTATTTCAGCGTACCTGCTCTCCGTCTGTCTCTCTGCATCCAGACTGCAGCTCTTTTGTAACGGAGGCTTCCGATTGGCTGCGATCTGCCTCTTCACTGGAACCTCCTTCCCACCCTGCTCGGCGGTCAGTTCGGGGGTGTGGCCGGTCTCCTTTAGCTCGTGCTGTAAACATTTAGGAGACCTTACAGCCATCATTTTGACAGCAGATTGACAGGTGACATTTTAATCAAAACAAAAGCAAGTAATGAGTCCTAAACTGACTCATTGCCTCATACCTGCACCAGTGTTTTGGATAATTACTATAAATATGTCATGCATGTCTAACCCTTAACGTAGCTGTCTGATTGTATTTACTGCATTATTGTGTAAATTCTGTTTATCGTATGTTTAATAAATGTTTGTGTGATTATGTTCACCATGTCCGACGCCTCCTGTGAGCGGCGGTTATCTGTCTGCTCCTTCTTCTTCCTCTTCCTCCTGTTTCCCTTCAATGACTTCTCTTTCTTTTCCTCTTCGTCTTCATCTTTCTCTTTGTCTTCCTCTTCCTCTTCCTCCTTCTGTCCGTCGTCCTGCCGGTTTTTAAGACTCTCCATCTGTGATATCAGTGTGCAATAAATGGAAAGGGTTTTTCACAGAATGACTTAATGTGGTCAGCAGACAAGTATTATTTCCCTTTATATGTTACATAGTAGTATGTTAATATTTACTGTGCTTTAGTGGTGGAAAGTACATTTACTCAAGTATACTTACTTTAGTAATTCAGATGTTTTCATATAGAAAATAATATGATGTTTTGTTATACATTAAAGGTGGGGTAGGTAAGTTTGAGAAACCGGCTAGAGATACTCTTGTTATATTCCATGGAATGCTCTTAACATCCCGATAGCAATGAATATCTGAAGTGCTTTGACAAAGAATCCTTAAAAAATATCATCTGTGGAAGCTGTAGTACTGTGAAAAGCACGACCAATCATCTGAGCCGGCCCGGCTAAAATAACTGGATGGCCTACCTGCCTGTCAGCCTTCCATCTGTGCACAAACTTATCTCGTGCCCTCATTGGTCATGTGCGCGTCCGTGTGTGTTGGAGGAGGGGCTCTGTGAGGAAGTGGCAGATTTTCTCCGGTTGTGTATTTTCAAATTCTAGCGATCTCGAGCCGGTTTCTCAAACTTACCTACCCTACCTTTAAATTAGCTAACTGTTTATTGAGGAACGCTGGGCGATTAGATCATTATTCAATTAGCAGATTGAGAAAATATAAATTAGCATCCGTACACATTCAATCATTTTTAACATAAATATTTTTGGGTGCTTTTTATTTTTATTTATTTTTTTGCACTGGGTACTTTAACAATGAATACCTAAAGAATATTTAGATAATTATACTTTTATGTTAATTTTCAAGTATTGTTGCAGTGTGGATTTACGTAGTGATGTCACTATGTTCCTGGAGTAAACCAAGGAGTCCAATGGAGGTGTTTCAGGGGTGTGTGTGGGATTTATCTATCTTTTTGATGTCAGAGTGAAAACAGATCTCTAGAATAAAGTAATATAGTTGTAGTGGCGGCTGTGGCTTAGTGGATAGAGTGCTGGACTTCGAATTAGGGGGTACCAAGTTCGAGTCCCACTGCAGTCAGCATGTCGTTGTGTCCCTGAGCAAGAGACTTCACCCCAAATTGCTCCTGTGGGGATAGTCCACAGTACTGAATCTATGTAAGACGCTTTGGATAAAAGCGTCTAACAAATGACATGTAATGAAAATATAATATATCTTTCAGCCTCGTGTTACCCTCAGTTTGGCCTCCAGCGCCAGCAGCCCGTCACTCAGCGCTCTGATGGACTCCACCATCTCAGAGTGCTTACTGACCGTCTTCTCTATGTAGCGCCGCCCCTCCTCCAGCCCTACACACACACACAATGTTGTTAAAAGAGGGATACATTAAAGAATATCTAAGTAAATAACACCTGTAGGAAGAGAGAACATTTTTGTATTTTATATAATCTCCTATTGTTTTACATGTATTCTTCTTAAATTATAATTTATGATGTACTTACATTTTTTTTAAATACTTTACTTCACATATCCACCAGATATTTGTATTTCTATGTATGCAATTATATGTAAAAACCTACCTAAGTTCTTTTCTCAAACATTTCAATGCAGAACTGTTGACATTAAGCACCTCAACACACTTTGGCACCATGTAATCTATGGATTTGATTGTGTTACGTAATGGAGGAACTCACGATCCCAGGTGTGTGTGCCCTTTCAGAATATGTGTGTGTGCCCTTTCAGAATATGTGTGTGTGCCCTTTCAGAATAAAGGTGTGTGTGCCCTTTCAGAATAAAGGTGTGTGTGCCCTTTCAGAATAAAAGCGTGTGTTCTACCGTGCAGCCGGACAGCGAGCTCAGTGATCTGACTGATCCTCTCCTCCTGCTGAGGGACCGTCGGCCAAACGAACTTCTCAAACTGTCGATGCAGGACGGAGACGGCCTCCGTGCTGCGGCACTCTGAGGAGAACTTCCCGACGCGAGCGATGGTCGATCCGGCGTCATCACACCAGAACTGATACTGGAAATGTGAATGGAGAGAAATGTTTACCTAACAGATATCACCATGAAACTCCCCCACTTCGTTACTGACGTTAACACGGTGATTTTTTACGTTTTAAGTTTTCTGAAATTTTTACATATGCTAATGATGCTAATGCTAACATTTGCTGAATTCAGGATAAATCTCCAGAACAGAAACAGACGAAGTTAGTAAAATAAACAGAATGTAGATTTTTCTTTCCACTTATCTAAAAAGAACATGTTGTGTGAAATGAAACCCTGTGTGCAGGTATCTGACCTCCTCCATGTTGTGTGAAATGAAACCCTGTGTGCAGGTATCTGACCTCCTCCATGGCGGTCTGCAGTCTGCAGGTCATCTCCAGAGTCTTCTGGTGTTCCCCCACGCTTCGCTCTAACTCGCCCATCTGTCTCTGCAGCTCGTTCACCGCGTCCTCCGTCTCCCTGGCAACGCCCCCGTCCCTGACCTCTGAACCCAGACGAGAGGTCGCCCCCACCAGGCGTTTCCTCAGCGCCTGATGGTCAGAAATCTAGGTTATTATTATTTACACCTGAACATCAGCAGGAGAGGACTCTTTAAAGTAGAGACACTACATACTGATATACACCTGAACATCAGCAGGAGAGGACTCTTTAAAGTAGAGACGCTACATACTGATATACACCTGAACATCAGCAGGAGAGGACTCTTTAAAGTAGAGACACTACATACTGATATACACCTGAACATCAGCAGGAGAGGACTCTTTAAAGTAGATACACTACATACTGATATACACCTGAACATCAGCAGGAGAGGACTCTTTAAAGTAGAGACACTACATACTGATACACACCTGAACATCAGCAGGAGAGGACTCTTTAAAGTAGAGACGCTACATACTGATATACACCTGAACATCAGCAGGAGGGGACTCTTTAAAGTAGAGACACTACATACTGATATACACCTGAACATCAGCAGGAGAGGACTCTTTAAAGTAGAGACACTACATACTGATATACACCTGAACATCAGCAGGAGAGGACTCTTTAAAGTAGAGACACTACATACTGATATACACCTGAACATCAGCAGGAGAGGACTCTTTAAAGTAGAGACACTACATACTGATATACACCTGAACATCAGCAGGAGAGGACTCTTTAAAGTAGAGACACTACATACTGATATACACCTGAACATCAGCAGGAGAGGACTCTTTAAAGTAGAGACACTACATACTGATATATACCTGAACATCAGCAGGAGAGGACTCTTTAAAGTAGAGACACTACATACTGATATACACCTGAACATCAGCAGGAGAGGACTCTTTAAAGTAGAGACACTACATACTGATATACACCTGAACATCAGCAGGAGAGGACTCTTTAAAGTAGAGACACTACATACTGATATACACCTGAACATCAGCAGGAGAGGACTCTTTAAAGGAGAGACACTACATACTGATATACACCTGAACATCAGCAGGAGAGGACTCTTTAAAGTAGAGACACTACATACTGATATACACCTGAACATCAGCAGGAGAGGACTCTTTAAAGTAGAGACACTACATACTGATATACACCTGAACATCAGCAGGAGAGGACTCTTTAAAGTGTACCTGCAGCTTCTCCTCGTACAGCTCCACCTGCTGCAGCTGGTTTCTCGCTGCCTTCATGTTCCTCGTCCTGTCGTTCCTCTTCAGATAGTTGAACCTCAGGTTACTGAAACGCTTCTTCAGCTCCTTGAAGGACTCACGAAGCTGAAAAATGAAAATTAGACATATTTATAATAATAATAATACATGGGATTTATATAGCACTTTTCCTAATGCTCAAAGACGCTTAACAAGACATGATGCCAGACCGACTTATAATGACTCGTTAGGTTACAGCTAAATAGCTCATTGTCAAAGAGGCAATGTTAGCCTTGCAAGCATCATAGTCAGGCCACCTGGTATATCTCTACAGCTATTGGATGGATTACTAAACCGTTGTGTAAGACGTTCCTGTTTCCCAGAGGATGAATCTTACTGACTTTGGCTAACACCTTGATATCCCCTCTAGCGCCACCATGAGGTTCAGAACTCTTCAATTACACAAATGAGCCAAAACACAAGCAGATGAAGAAACATCTTCCCCAGCTTCAGGAAACACGTGCAGCGTTTAGGAAAACTGTCTCTGTTGTTGGAAACGTACCTAGAGGTTTTATCCACTTATTTGAACAATGTGATCACATGACTCTGATGTCCCTGCAGACCCTGAGGCTGATGGGAAATGTGTGATATTGGGCTGTATGAATACAATTAGATTGATTTGTGTAAAACAGCTCAGTGGTTGAAGCTGCTCTGGGGTTCATCCTCCCCCCCCCTGCGGTTCCTCTACTCGTCATTCCTTAAAAACAACATACTTTCACCAGTGTGACATTTCACTGGAGTTACTGGTGTGACTGGTTGCTGCTGTGTCATTAAGCAGCTGCTTTTTAAGGTATGGAGAGGGGGGGGATCAGAAATACAGGCAGAGTCAGCCAATGGGTATTTCCCAGCATGCACCTGGTCCTGAAGTGGCAGCTGCACACACACACACACACACACACATGCACGCACGCACACAAACACACATGGAGACAGACACACACACACACACACACACACAAACAAACACACACACAGACACAAACACACACACACACACTCACACACATATGCAGACACACACACATACACACACTCTCTCACACACACACATACACACACTCTCTCACACACACACACAAACACACAGACACACACTCACTCACACACACTCACACACACTTACACACACACAAACACACACACAGACACACACTCACTCACACACACTCACACACTCACACACACAAACACACAGACACAGACAAACACTCACACACACACACACACACACACTCACACACATATGCAGACACACACACACACACACACACACACACATACACACACTCTCTCACACACACACACACACACTCACACACACTCACACACACTCACACACACAAACACACAGACACACACACACACACACACACACACACACACTCACACACATATACAGACACACACACAGACACAGACACACACACACACACACACACACACACACACACACACACACACACACACACACACACACACACACACACACACACACACACACACACTAATGGGGTAAGTATTGATTTGTTCACCTGCTGCAATGTACTGATAACATTAAGGATGTACTTAATGTGTAATGTTTATGAACTCTATTCTGTGTGTGTGTTCATGTTGTGCTGGGTAATTAATGTTTTATAAAATAGTGCTTTGTTTTCACAGGTTTCCACAGCGCTCTCATCGTCCTGACTCCATGACCATCACCTCTCTGTGAAATATCTGGAGATCCTCCCGGTGGTTTAGAGATATCTTCCAGGTAACGTTTGGTGTTTTATTCTTCCTAACTCCTAACTCCTTGACTCCTTCACTCCTTGACTCCAAACTCCTGACTCCTTGACTCCTTGACTCCCCCACCCTGAGGTTAGAGAATCAGCCCGACCTCTTTAGTGATTTAAACGTCTTCACCTCGCTGTGTCTCAGCTGTTCTGAGCTGACAGATCTTCTGACAGCTGTTCCTCCTCCCTCTGGATTTAAATCCCCCCAGCTCTAAAAATAAACTCATCAGAACTCCCCCCGTCCATCAACACCAGCTCTCACAGCTCTGACTGAAGAGCAGATAATGGACGAGGAAGGGGGGGAAACTATTTTAGGGAAAGTGTCTCATCCATAACATTCCTGCACACATGCCTGTTCCCCAGAGGATGCACCCTACTGTCCTTCTGTGGTCTTGAACTCTAGTTTCCATGCAATGTAGTTTAATAACTTCTCCTCCAGCGCCACCATGAGGTCAGTGACTGTGACTGTGAAGGGAATGTCATTAGCAATAAAGTTTTAAAGCTTTAGATAATTCTGTGGGTTTTTATTCGCATAGTTTCTGAAGCTACAGTTTCTCCGGCGTTTGAACCGTCGTAGAAAACAGAATACAATTCAGTGAGCGTCTTCATGGCTCCAATCAAATCTAAAAGTGTCGGCTGACTGCAGATTATATTTAGACCAAATAAAACCCAGAGGGGCTGGACTCCAGGGCCAGGGGCTGGTACGGAAGCTAAATAAATCAAATCAAATCAAATCAGGTTTTATTTATATAGCACATTTAAAAGCGATTTTTGGTCGAGCCAAAGTACTGTACATGTAATAAAAACACATTACTACAATCACAATAATCGACAATAAATTACAACAGATATATCTTAAAAACAAAATAAAAATAAAACACACGGAAAAGTCAGGAGTCGTGCTCCGCTCTAACTAGAAAGCCAGAGAGAAGAAGTGTGTTTTTAGTTTAGAATTAAAAACCCCTAGGGTCTGGGCCGACCTCACATGGAGGGGCAGAGTGTTCCAGAGCCTCGGGCCAGCTGCTGCGAAGGCTCGGTGCCCTCGGGTTTTGAGCCTGGTCTTGGCTAATAAATAATAACACAATTAAGTCTGCACAATTAAGTCTGCACAATTAAAGATTAGGTTTTATACTAGGGAACTTTAAAACATGAGATATTACTTTAATTTAAATTTAAAACATACATTCACAAAAAGATGCAGAATTAATGAAAATAGATATTACGCTATTGTGGAATTGTCTTGTATTGACAGAATATTATTATTTTAATACTATTTTAATCTTTTGTAAACAGAAAAAGTTGCTGTTTATGACCTGTGTTCCTAACAAAACATTTGAGTAATAAAAAACTAAATAGACTCACCTGGTTGATGTCGTCGTTGAGCAGCCGCTCTCTGCGGAGTTTCTCCTCACGACGAGATGCTTCCTTCAGCCACGAGACACAGAGAGAGTCCAGAGAGACGAGCCGGGCCTCCAGCTGGTCCACGTGGAAACTGGTCCAACCCTGACAGAGAGGAACAGGAAAGCAGCATGGAAAGGAAATACTCCAGCTAAGCACAACTATAACTCAAACTGGTAGTAACTCAAACTGGTAGTAACTCAAACTGGTAGTAACTCAAACTGGTAGTAACTCATACTGGTAGTAACTCAAACTGGTAGTAACTCACTGAAACTGGTAGTAACTCAAACTGGTAGTAACTCAAACTGGTAGTAACTCAAACTGGTAGTAACTCAAACTGGTAGTAACTGAAACTAGTAGTAACTCAAACTGGTAGTAACTCAAACTGGTAGTAACTCAAACTGGTAGTAACTCAAACTAGTAGTAACTCAAACTGGTAGTAACTCAAACTGGCAGTAACTCAAACTGGTAGTAACTCAAACTGGTAGTAACTCAAACTGGCAGTAACTCAAACTGGTAGTAACTCAAACTGGCTGTAACTCAAACTGGTAGTAACTCAAACTGGCAGTAACTGTACTGACGGTGGAGCTGACGGAGGTGCAGATGTCGCTCTTCAGTGTTGAAGCGGTTTTGAACAGACTCTGGATCTGCTGCTGTTCCTCGCTGGATCCACAGGAACCAGTTAAAGTCTGGATCAGCGCCTCCAGCTGGACCCAAAGAAAACAACACTTTGATAAGTACCTGCAGGCTTCCTGTCAGAACCACTTCCTGTCAGAACCACTTCCTGCCGCACGGACCTGTCTGGATGTGAGGTGGAAGCTGCTGGTCCGGTCCAGGATGGACTCGCTCTGACGGATCTTCTTCTTCACTTTCTCCTGGAGCTTCAGCAGCTCTGACAGGTCTTCCTCCTCCACTGGTCCTTCCTCCTCCTCATCCTCCTCCTCCCCCAGACCCTCCTGGACTCCTCTCAGAGTCTCCCAGCTCTTCAACATGAACTCCACCTCAGCGTCCAGTTGCTGGAGGAAAGAAGAAAGAAACACCTTCCCAGTTCAGTCATGAGCCCCATAGGTCCCTGCAGAACTAAAGTCCATGTAGTCCTTTGGTTCTCTATGTTGCTTCAGTTTAAAATCAGTGGACTCACGGTAAAGTGTGGACGGGCCTGGCTGAAGCGCTCCAGCAGCTTGGAGGTCTGCAGGTCTGAACCCAGATCCATCAGAGAGCAGGAGTCCAGCATCTCAGAGACACAGTTCAGGTCCTGCAGGGTCTGGAACAACCAGCAAGGGTTATGGAGAGTACATTTACCCCAGTACCGGACCTAAGACCAGGACCGGATCTAAGACCAGTACCGGATCTAAGACCAGTACCGGACCTAAGACCAGTACCGGACCTAAAACCAGGACCGGACCTAAGACCAGTACCGGACCTAAGACCAGGACCGGACCTAAGACCAGGACCGGATCTAAGACCAGGACCGGACCTAAGACCAGTACCGGACCTAAAACCAGTACCGGACCTAAAACCAGGACCGGACCTAAGACCAGGACCGCACCTAAAACCAGTACCGGACCTAAAACCAGGACCGGACCTAAGACCAGGACCGGACCTAAGACCAGTACCGGACCTAAAACCAGTACCGGACCTAAAACCAGTACCGGACCTAAAACCAGGACCGGACCTGAGACCAGTACCGGACCTAAAACCAGGACCGGATCTAAAACCAGAACCGGACCTAAGACCAGTACCGGACCTAAAACCAGGACCGGACCTAAGACCAGTACCGGATCTAAAACCAGGACCGGACCTAAGACCAGTACCGCCATGCTCTCTGGTGGGACTATCTTCTATAACACAGACAGTGGCAGAACTTCAGTGTTAGTATTATTAGATCTCAGTGCTGCATTTGACACTGTTGACCACAACATATTACTAGACCGACTAGAAAACTGGGTGGGACTTTCGGCAACAGTTCTAAATTGGTTTGAGTCCTACTTAAAGGACAGAAAAAACTTTATTTCTATAGGTAAATACACATCTGAGTTGACAAATATGACATGTGGGGTACCTCAAGGCTCCATCTTGGGGCCTCTTCTCTTTAACATCTACATGCTACCACTGGCTCAGATAATGAAAAACAACAAAATAAGTTACCATAGCTATGCGGATGACACACAAATTTACGTAACAATTTCACCAGGAGATTATGCTCCAATTCAAACACTGAGTAAGTGCATTGAACAAATCAATGACTGGATGTGTCAGAACTTTCTCCAATTAAACAAAGATAAAACTGAGGTAATGGTTTTTGGAGCCAAGGCAGAACGTATAAAAGTTAGCGCTGAGCTTCAGTCTGCAATGTTCAAAACAACAGATAAAGCCAGAAATCTAGGTGTAGTCATGGACTCTGACCTGAGTTTCAACAGTCACATTAAAACAGTTACTAAATCAGCCTACTATCACCTAAAGAACATATCTAGGATTAAAAGACTAATGTCACAGCAGGATTTGGAAAAACTTGTCCATGCTTTTATCTTCAGTAGACTCGACTACTGTAATGGTGTCTTTATAGGTCTCACAAAAAAATCTATTAGAAAGCTGCAGCTAATTCAGAACGCCGCTGCTCGAGTCCTCACTAACACTAAGAAAGTGGATCACATCACTCCTGTTCTGAAGTCCTTACACTGGTTCCTCACTAACACTAAGAAAGTGGATCACATCACTCCTGTTCTGAAGTCCTTACACTGGCTTCCTGTGTGTCAAAGAATAGATTTCAAAATATTGTTGCTGGTTTATAAAGCTTTGAATGGTTTAGGCCCAAAATACATGTCTGACCTCCTGCTAAATTATGAACCATCCAGAACCCTCAGGTCTTCAGGGACTGGTCAGCTTTCTGTCCCCAGAGTCAGAACTAAACATGGTAAAGCAGCGTTCAGTTATTATGCTCCAAATATCTGGAACAAACTCCCAGAAACCTGCAGGTCCGCTGCAACTCTTACTACTTTTAAATCCAGGCTGAAGACTTTTCTTTTTGCCGCTGCTTTTAATTGAACTATTCACATCTGAAACTGCACTGTAACTTTTAACTTTTATCCATGTATTTTTTCTTTTAATGTTTATTTTATTATCTTTCCTTTTTAATGACTGATTTTAAATGCCATTTTTAAAATGTCTTCCATTTTTGTAAAGCACTTTGAATTACCTTGTGTTGAAAGGTGCTATATAAATAAACTTGCCTTGCCTTGCCTTGCCTTGCCTATAAATCCCATTCGGAGGAGAATCTGAACCCTTTTGTTGCTTCTTATCTCCCCATCTTTTTAGTGTAATCCTGAATAAAGTCAAAATAAAGTTTAATATTGAGATTAAAGTCCTTAATGTTGAATAGAAACTGGAGTTGTTGAGATACCCTGCAGGGTTCAGACTACAGCAGTACCTTGTCCAGTCTCTCCCTGTACTTCCTGCAGTAATCTCTCTGCTCCTGGACCTGGATTATCCGCTGACTCCTCATGTCGTTCACTTCCTGTTCTGTTCTGCCGAGCCGCTCCAGCGTCTCCTGAACCACCGACTGCAGGTTCAACGCTGATCCAGACACCTGACAAACACATATGTTTATATCAAACTACAGCGTTCTGCATGATTCACAGAGTCACAGTTTAATGTAATCTCACCATGTTAGCTGTTTGGAGGAAGCTGTTCCCCAGTTCCTGACAGGAGAGGAAATTCTGCAGCGTTTTCTCCCAGCCGGAGTCAAACTGCTTCCTGTTCTTCACTGCCGACCTGCAGCTACTGGCTTCCTCTTCCTCTGGTCTCTTTCTGTAGAGCTCCTGAAGTTCTTCCATCTCGTCCTCCACCTGGGGGAGAGGATTGAAGCTATAGAGGAACTACAGCACAGTCACATGACTTCACGTCACCACCGCTAAGCTAAAGGTGGCTAATGTTGGGCTATAAAGGAACTACAGTACGGTCACATGACTTCACGTCACCACCGCTAAGCTAAAGGTGGCTAATGTTGGGCTATAAAGGAACTACAGCACGGTCACATGACTTCACGTCACCACCGCTAAGCTAAAGGTGGCTAATGTTGGGCTATAAAGGAACTACAGCACGGTCACATGACTTCACGTCACCACCGCTAAGCTAAAGGTGGCTAATGTTGGGCTATAAAGGAACTACAGCACGGTCACATGGCTTCACGTCACCACCGCTAAGCTAAAGGAGGCTAATGTTGGGCTATAAAGGAACTACAGCACGGTCACATGACTTCACGTCACCACCGCTAAGCTAAAGGTGGCTAATGTTGGGCTATAAAGGAACTACAGCACGGTCACATGACTTCACGTCACAACCGCTAAGCTAAAGGTGGCTAATGTTGGGCTATAAAGGAACTACAGCACGGTCACATGACTACACGTCACCACCGCTAAGCTAAAGGAGGCTAATGTTGGGCTATAAAGGAACTACAGCACGGTCACATGACTTCACGTCACAACCGCTAAGCTAAAGGTGGCTAATGTTGGGCTATAAAGGAACTACAGCACGGTCACATGACTACACGTCACCACCGCTAAGCTAAAGGTGGCTAATGTTGGGCTATAAAGGAACTACAGCACGGTCACATGACTTCACGTCACCACCGCTAAGCTAAAGGTGGCTAATGTTGGGCTATAAAGGAACTACAGCACGGTCACATGACTTCACGTCACAACCGCTAAGCTAAAGGTGGCTAATGTTGGGCTATAAAGGAACTACAGCACGGTCAGGCAGGTCGAAAAGTACCTCGCAGAAAAGAAACTAATCTATGAATTTCAATCTGGCTTTAGAACATCCCACTCCACTGACACATGCCTTCTTTATTTGACCGACCACATCAAACAAGAGGTGGACGAGGGTAAATACTGCGGCATGGTGATGCTGGACCTACAAAAGGCTTTCGACACTGTCAATCACCCCATTCTGATTGACAAGCTAAAAGCAATTGGTTTTGATAAACTATCGGTGAGCTGGATGCAATCCTACCTGGAGGGGAGAGAACAGATGGTGGAGGTAAACGGTACTCTGTCCCCCCCCCCTCCCAGTGAGCTGTGGTGTTCCACAAGGAAGCATATTAGGTCCGTTACTGTTCCTAATTTATGCAAATGACATGTCATCAGCATGTGACTGCAACTTGTTCCTGTTCGCGGACGACTCAGCCCTGCTGGTCTCTGACAGGAGCAGATTGCAGGTTGAAAAAACCCTCAGCTCCGAGCTCGGCAGAATCTGCACCTGGCTCGCCGATAATAAATTATCATTACACCTGGGTAAAACAGAGTCCATTCTCTTCGGTTCGAAACATAATCTCAGCAAATCCGACGACTTCTCAGTTGCAGTGGGTGACATTATTGTCACAAGTAAGAAGGAAATTACATACCTAGGATCTATTCTTGAGGCAAACCTCTCCTGTGACAAAATGGCATCCAATGTAATAAAAAAAGTCAATCAAAGAACTAGATTCCTATACCGGATCTCCTCTCTGGTAAACAAAAACACCCTGAAAACTCTGGCAGGAGCACTCATTCAAGGGTACTATGACTATGCTTGCACGTCATGGTACCATAGCACCTCCAAGGCGCTAAAAACAAAACTTCAAACATCGCAAAATAAACTGGTCAGACTACTGCTTGACCTTTCATCTAGAACCCACCTCACCTCTGCCCACTTTGACAACCTAGGATGGCTTAGAGTAGACGACAGAGTACAGCTACTTGCAATGGGCCTGGTCTACAAGATCCACTACACCTCTATGGTACCCATGTACATGTCAAAATTCTTCCCAAAGGTCAAGGAATACCATGATCATAACACCAGAGGGAGCTCCACAAATCATGTAAAACCCAGATTTGGCACAAAAAAAGGGGAATACACGTTTCGCAATTATGCCACATCAAGGTGGAACGCTCTTCCCACAACTGTAAAGGAAAGTAAAACTATACTTACCTTCAAAACCTCTCTTAAAGAGCACCTTCGGGGGAAAGCATTGCAAAACTGGCCCCGGTAATGGTACAAATCTCAACCTGTCGTACAATGGACAGCTTCCCCCCCCCATCTATGTATATACTCGCATTTTAGACTCTGTTACTAACTGTATATCTGTAGACTTGGTATGTCTTAAATGTCCGGTTAGGATGTATTAGAACGAAATCTAAAATGAAAATTGTAAATAATCCATCTGTATGTAAAAAACCACCTGTATGTAAATTGTAAATAAGCCATCTGTATGTCATATATGTCTTATATGTCTTAAATGATATGATGAATTGGAAATGGGGGACCCTGATGTAAACAAGACGAAAGTCTTTCTCTGGTCTGCATCCCCTTAACAATTGTATGTTTTGAGCTGTACTGTACTGTACCCAATATACAAGCTGTTAATAAACTTTTCAATCAATCAATCAATCAGTCACATGACTTCACGTCACCACCGCTAATCTAAAGGTGGCTAATGTTGGGCTATAAAGGAACTACAGCACGGTCACATGACTTCACGTCACAACCGCTAAGCTAAAGGTGGCTAATGTTGGGCTATAAAGGAACTACAGCACGGTCACATGACTACACGTCACCACGCTAAGCTAAAGGTGGCTAATGTTGGGCTATAAAGGAACTACAGCACGGTCACATGACTTCACGTCACCTCCACTTATTAACCCACCAGTGGGGTATTTACTGATGTATTTTATGTGGTAGAACAAAATGTTAAAATCTCTTCAGCTTGTGTTAACCACAGACCTGATTTCAGGCTAACAACCACAAATACATTCAGGAAACCATTGACCTCCAGACCAGGGGACAGGAAGTGTTAAAGGGCAGATAAATAACTATTTTCCTCTGACGGAGTCTTGGCGGAGGGTTCTGGTTCTGACCTGCTGTGTTGTGCGGAGGAAAGTGACGTAGGGTCGCAGCAGCTCCAGGTTTGAGTCTAACTTCCTGTTCAGACCCTGCAGCTCCTTCAGGACCAGATCCACACGAGCAGGGAGTTCAGGGCTCGGTGGGTCGCTGGAGCTGGTTCTGGTTCTGGTGCTGGTTCTGGTTCTGGTGCGGCCCCTCTTCAGCTGCTGGGTCAGTGTTTTGAGGGGGGATAGCGGGGAGCCACCGGGCTGCAGAGCGTTGATCTGATCCAGGATCTGCTTCATGTTTTCTGCATCCAAACCTGCAGACTGGAGACACGTAAAACACTATATGAACAGTTTAACCTGTGTGTGTGTGTGTGTGTGTGTGTGTGTGTGTGTGTGTGTGTGTGTGTGTGTGTGTGTGTGCGTGCGTGCGCGCGTGTGTGTGTGTGTGTGTGTGTGTGTGTGTGTGTGTGTGTGTGTGTGTGTGTGAACCTCAGCCTCTGTTTGCAGCCTCAGGTATGTGTTCAGAGTCTCTTCGGCCTCAAAGAGCTGCAGTCCGGCTTCAGAGCTTTCAGACAACACTCTGCTGCCCTGCTGCACCCAGAGGCAGACCTGCAACACACACACACACACACACACACACACACACACACACACACACACACACACACACACACACACACACACACACACACACACACACACACACACACAAACACACGAGTATGTACTGTGTACTATGACGACGAAGGAAAATAATTGACAAAATACAATAAAAAAGATCCCTCCAAGAAAATGCCTCACGACTCTAAAAAGGTGTAAGAAGTCCACAAGGAGACTATAGATGTCAAGGACACGACTCAACATAGATGTCAAAGCACAAGATGACTTCAAACCCCAAAATAAGCTACATCTATTGAAAGATATGATTGACATAAGATGCAGACAAAGACAAGAAGGAGACTCACCTTGTCTGCCAGCTCTTCACATGACGACAGCAGCCGGAGCCTCTGATTGGTCGGCAGATCTTGGTGGGCGGGGTCTTCTTCAGTCTCTTTTCCCAGCATGCCCTGCAGCTCTGCCTGCTGATTGGCTGATTCTGATTCTGACCCTGAATCCAACTCTGGTCCGGATCCAGACTCCAAGTCCTGGTCTTCCTCTGAACTGGATTCAGACTCTGAATCTGATCCGGATTCAGACTCCAGTTCTGATCCAGATCCCAGCTGTAGGTCTGGGTCTTCCTCTGAACTGGATTCAGTTTCTAAATCTGAGCCGGATCCCAGCTGCTGATCTGAAGTGGATCTGGATCTTATCTCTGAAGTGGATCTGGTCTGCAGGTCTCTGGTCTCCTCTGACCTGAATACAGTTTTAAGATCTGATCGAAAGTCAAGATTAAGATCAGATCTGGATCCGGACTCCAAGTCTTTGGTTTCCGTTGATCTGGATTCTGAATTCAGGTTTAATTTGAGTCCGGTCTGCAGGTCTCTGGTCTCTTCTGATCTGTCTTCAGGCTTCACATCTGATCTGGATCCCACAGTCTGGTCTGAAAGGGGTCCTGGCTGCAGGTCTCTGGTCTGATCTGGTTCAGACTCTGATTCTGACTCAGAGATGTTGGTTTTCTCTGATCTGGATCCGGGGACCACATCTTTAGACTCCTCTGATCCAGGTTCAGGCTTCACAGCTGATCTGGATCCTGGCTCCAGGTCTTTAGCATCCTCTGGTTTAGATTTTGAATTCAGGTCTTCACTGCTTGACTCTGACTCCAGGTCCTGGTCCAGGGTCTCTTTGACTGAGAGACTCCAGTCCTGATCCAGGGTCTCTTTGACTGAGAGACTCCGGTCCTGATCCAGGGTCTCTTTGACTGAGAGACTCCGGTCCTGATCCAGGGTCTCTTTGACTGAGAGACTCCGGTCCTGCAGTGAAAACAGAAGTGCATTTTCATTTATATAATTTTGACTTTTTTATGTTTTTATTTGTATTCCGTTTTTATGGTTTATTTAGTTTAACTTTCTAATCTGGTTTATAATCTCTCCAGGGACATGAGAGAGAGAGGACCAGGGACATGAGAGAGAGAGGACCAGGGACATGAGAGAGAGAGGACCAGGGACATGAGAGAGAGAGGACCATGGACATGAGAGAGAGAGGACCAGGGACATGAGAGAGAGGACCAGGGACAGGAGAGAGAGAGAGGACCAGGGACACGAGAGAGAGAGGACCAGGGACACGAGAGAGAGAGAGGACCAGGGACATTGAGAGAGAGGACCAGGGACACGAGGAGAGGACCTAGGGACATGAGAGAGAGAGGACCAGGGACATGAGAGAGAGAGGGACCAGGGACATGAGAGAGAGAGGACCAGGGACATGAGAGAGAGAGGACCAGGGACATGAGAGAGAGGACCAGGGACACGAGAGAGAGAGGACCAGGGACATGAGAGAGAGGACCAGGGACATGAGAGAGAGGACCAGGGACATGAGAGAGAGAGGACCAGGGACATGAGAGAGAGAGACCGGGACATGAGAGAGAGGACCAGGGACATGACGAGAGAGAGGAACAGGGACAGAAGAGAGAGAGGACCAGGGACATGAGAGAGAGAGAGGACCAGGGACATGAGAGAGAGGGACCAGGGACATGAGAGAGAGAGAGGACCAGGGACATGAGAGAGAGGACCAGGGACATGAGAGAGAGAGGACCAGGGACATGAGAGAGAGAGGACCAGGGACATGAGAGAGAGGACCAGGGACATGAGAGAGAGGGACCAGGGACATGAGAGAGAGAGGACCAGGGACATGAAAAGACTGAAGACCAGGGAGAGAGGACCAGGGACACGAGAGACAGAGGACCAGGGACACGAGAGAGAGAGGACCAGGGACATGAGAGAGAGAGGACCAGGGACATGAGAGAGAGAGGACCAGGGACACGAGAGAGAGGACCAGGGACATGAGAGAGAGGACCAGGGACATGAGAGAGAGAGGACCAGGGACACCAGAGAGAGAGGACCAGGGACATGAGAGAGAGAGGACCAGGGACATGAGAGAGAGAGAACCAGGGACATGAGAGACAGAGGACCAGGGACATGAGAGAGAGAGGACCAGGGACATGAGAGAGAGAGAACCAGGGACATGAGAGAGAGAGGACCAGGGACATGAGAGAGAGAGGACCAGGGACATGAGAGAGAGGACCAGGGACATGAGAGAGAGAGGACCAGGGACATGAGAGAGAGAGGACCAGGGACATGAGAGAGAGAGAACCAGGGACATGAGAGAGAGAGGACCAGGGACATGAGAGAGAGAGGACCAGGACATGAGAGAGAGGACCAGGGACAGAGAGACAGAGGACCAGGGACATGAGAGAGAGAGAACCAGGGACATGAGAGAGAGAGGACCAGGGACATGAGAGAGAGAGGACCAGGGACATGAGAGAGAGGACCAGGGACATGAGAGAGAGAGAGGACCAGGGACATGAGAGAGAGAGGACCAGGGACATGAGAGACAGAGGACCAGGGACATGAGAGAGAGGACCAGGGACATGAGAGAGAGAGAACCAGGGACATGAGAGACAGAGGACCAGGGACATGAGAGAGAGAGGACCAGGGACATGAGAGAGAGAGGACCAGGGACATGAGAGAGAGAGAGGACCAGGGACATGAGAGAGAGGACCAGGGACATGAGAGAGAGGACCAGGGACATGAGAGAGAGAGGACCAGGGACATGAGAGAGAGAGGACCAGGGACATGAGAGAGAGAGGACCAGGGACATGAGAGAGAGAGGACCAGGGACATGAGAGAGAGAGGACCCAGGGACATGAGAGAGAGAGAGGACCAGGGACAGTGAGAGAGAGAGAGAGGACCCGGACATGAGAGAGAGAGGACCAGGGACATGAGAGAGGGACCAGGGACATGAGAGAGAGAGGACCAGGGACATGAGAGAGAGAGGACCGGGACATGAGAGGAGAGAGAGGACCAGGGACATGAGAGAGAGGGACCAGGGACATGAGAGAGAGAGGACCAGGGACATGAGGAGAGCGAGGACCAGGGACATGAGAGAGAAGAGAGGACCAGGGACATGAGAGAGAGATGACCAGGGACATTGAGAGAGAGAGAGGACCAGGGACATGAGAGAGAGAGGACCAGGGACATGAGAGAGAGGACCAGGGACATGAGAGAGAGAGGACCAGGGACATGAGAGAGAGGACCAGGGACATGAGAGAGAGAGGACCAGGGACATGAGAGAGAGAGAGACCAGGGACATGAGAGAGAGGACCAGAGACATGAGGAGAGAGGACCAGGGACATGAGAGAGAGAGGACCAGGGACATGAGAATGAGAGAGAGGACCAGGGACATGAGAGAGAGAGGACCAGGGACAATGAGAGAGAGAGGACCAGGGACATGAGAGAGAGAGGACCAGGGACATGAGAGAGAGAGGACCAGGGACATGAGAGAGAGAGAGGACCAGGGACATGAGAGAGAGAGAGGACCAGGGACATGAGAGAGAGAGAGGACCGGGGACAGAGAGAGACAGGACATGAGAGAGAAGAGCAGACAGAGGAATGAGAGAGAGGACCAGGGACATGAGAGAGAGAGAGGACCAGGGACATGAGAGAGAGGACCAGGGACATGAGAGAGAGGACCAGGGACATGAGAGAGAGAGGACCAGGGACATGAGAGAGAGGACCAGGGACATGAGAGAGAGGACCAGGGACATGAGAGAGAGAGGACCAGGGACATGAGAGAGAGAGGACCAGGGACATGAGAGAGAGAGAGGACCAGGGACATGAGAGAGAGAGGACCAGGGACATGAGAGAGAGGGACCAGGGACATGAGAGAGAGAGGACCAGGGACATGAGAGAGAGGACAGGACATGAGAGAGAGAGGACCAGGGACATGAGAGAGAGAGGGACCAGGGACATGAGAGAGAGAGGACCAGGGACATGAGAGAGAGAGGACCAGGGACATGAGAGAGAGGGACCAGGGACATGAGAGAGAGAGGACAGGGACATGAGAGAGGAGGACCAGGGACATGAGAGAGAGAGGACCAGGGACATGAGAGAGAGAGAGGACCAGGGACATGAGAGAGAGACCAGGGACATGAGAGGAGAGGACCAGGGACATGAGAGAGAGAGGACCAGGGACATGAGAGAGAGAGAGGACCAGGGACATGAGAGAGAGAGAGGACCAGGGACATGAGAGAGAGAGAGGACCAGGGACATGAGAGAGAGAGGACCAGGGACATGAGAGAGAGAGGACCAGGGACATGAGAGAGAGAGAGGACCAGGGACATGAGAGAGAGAGGACCAGGGACATGAGAGAGAGAGGACCAGGACATGAGAGAGAGAGAGGACCAGGGACATAAGAGAGAGAGGACCAGGGACATGAGAGAGAGAGAGGACCAGGGACATGAGAGAGAGAGGACCAGGGACATGAGAGAGAGGACCAGGGACACGAGTGAGAGGACCAGGGACATGAGAGAGAGAGAGGACCAGGGACATGAGAGAGAGAGAGGACCAGGGACATGAGAGAGAGAGAGGACCAGGGACATGAGAGAGAGAGGACCAGGGACATGAGAGAGAGAGAGGACCAGGGACATGAGAGAGAGGACCAGGGACATGAGAGAGAGGACCAGGGACATGAGAGAGAGAGGACCAGGGACATGAGAACATGAGAGAGAGGACCAGGGACACAAGAGAGAGAGAGGACCAGGGACATGAGAGAGAGGACCAGGGACATGAGAGAGAGGACCAGGGACATGAGAGAGAGGACCAGGGACATGAGAGAGAGAGGACCAGGGACATGAGAGAGAGAGAGGACCAGGGACATGAGAGAGAGAGGACCAGGGACATGAGAGAGAGAGGACCAGGGACATGAGAGAGAGAGAGGACCAGGGACATGAGAGAGAGAGGACAGGGACACGAGAGAGAGAGGACCAGGGACATGAGAGAGAGGGACCAGGGACATGAGAGAGAGAGGACCAGGGACATGAGAGAGAGGACCAGGGACATGAGAGAGAGAGGACCAGGGACATGAGAGAGAGGAGACCAGGGACATGAGAGAGAGAGACCAGGGAGATGAGAGAGAGAGAGGACAGGGACATGAAGAGAGAGGACCAGGGACATGAAGAACTGAGAGAGGGTAGACGAGGACCAGGGGACATGAGAGAGAGGAGGACCAGGGACACAAGAGGAGAGAGAGGACCAGGGACATGAGAGAGAGGACCAGGGACATGAGAGAGAGAGGACCAGGGACATGAGAGAGAGAGGACCAGGGACATGAGAGGAGAGGACCAGGGACCATGAGAGAGAGAGGACAGGGACATGAGAGAAGAGAGGACAGGGACATGAGAGAGGAGAGAGGACCAGGGACATGAGAGAGAGGACCAGGGACATGAGAGAGAGAGGACCAGGGACATGAGAGAGGGAGAGAGAGGACCAGGGACATGAGAGAGAGAGGACCAGAGACATGAGAGAGAGAGAC